CGCACCGCGCTGCCGATGCTGCTACCCGCGGGCTGCCAGCCTCAAAACCCGCTTCTTTTGGGGAAAAACCCCTCCCTGCTTGCGAAAAGCCGACACGCAGAAGAAACTCGGCGCGCCAGAAGCCCCGCTCCCGGCACAGCGCCCACGCACCCGGGGCTGGGAAACTTGTGCGAGCAGGTAAGAGGGAGCGCGACCGAGGAGCCGCCGCAGCGACCCCGCGGCCTCCGGGCTGCCAGCAGCCCAACTTCGGGTCCCCCGCTCCTCCGCCCGCTGCCCGCCCCACCCGCGCAGCCCGGGGAGCCCGCACGGCGCCCGGGGAGCCCGCACGGCGCCCGGGCAGCCCGCACGGCGCCCGGGGAGCCCGCACGGCGCCCCGCTCACCTCCGCCGCGCTCCGCCGCTGCCCCGCGCCGCTCAGCCGGAGCGCGGCGGCGCCGCCCGGCATTTATAGAGCCCGCGGCCGCCCCGCCCGCCGCCCGCCCCTCGCCCCGCGCCGCGGGCCCGCCCCGGGCAGCGCTGCCGCGGCCGGCCGCGGGCGGGGGGCGAGCCCGGGCCGGCTCTGCGGGGCTCGGTGTGCCCGGCGGGCCGAGCCCCGACCCGCATCCCCGCGGCGGTGCCCCGGCAGCTCCCCGGCCCCGCTGGTCAGCGGGAGGCGCAGCCGCCGCGTCGGGGAGAACGGGAAGCCGTGGTGGAGGTGCCCACGGGGCGAGGCTCGGGCCGCAGGACACCCCGGAGGTGGTGAGGGGACAGACCTGCGAGGCCAACTCCATGCGGCCCCTCCCGGCAGCGGCATGGTGAGAGGTTGGAGGATTTCGGCCAAGGGACACGTCCCCGTGTGCTCCCCGCTGCACCCACGTCCTCACTAAGGGATGAGGAAATGGCTCAATCTAAGATCTCCATCCCCTCTATGGCCCTGGGGTTTTAATCTGCCCAAACAGCGCGAGGATCCGAGGGAGGGAAGTTGCTGCTGCTTCAGTGTAACAGCACAGGCACAGAGCAGCGTGGCAGGACAGAAGTGCAAACCTGGGAAAACTCACATTAACCGTAACACTGACTGACAGCCGTGGGCTTCTTGACTGACAAAGTACAAGAAGGAATTTCCACTCTGTACAAAAACAGTAGTGCTGACAACTTCAGAAAAGCCAGCAGAGTGTTGGTGCAGCAGTGGACAGCACTGCCTTGTTAAGTCATCGTTTCTGCTCCCTGTTTCCAAAAAAATTTTCATGCATGGCACAGTTCAACTTTGAAGAAACAGGATGAGTATGCAGTAAACCACATTTCTTCCCTCAGGAGTTTGGACTTCCCTGGATAAAAAATCAAAACAACCCAACTCCTGACATGAGCCAAGCAGCAGTGCTGGAAGCTCCTGCCAGTCTTTATGGTGGAGAGCCTTGTGTCCATCAGGGTGGCTCTCTCCTTGCAGGGGCCCCGTGCCTGGGCAAAACCACCGTGATGGAAACGTGGATGAGAGAGGTGGCACAGCAAGCCAGGGAGCTCAGCCTCAGCCAGGGCACAGGGAATTAGGCCAAGTTAAGGTGCTGGTGCTGGAAGGCTGAGCTGTCCAGGAATGGTTTCTTCATCGGCAGTGCCAGCTGAGGTGGACATTTGTTAGGCTATTTACTGACCAGCCTGATTTTAAAAGTTTAATTAAAATTTAGCTTATTTTCCCAAAATGTTTCATAACATCATTTCCTACAGGGATACACTTTTGAATTGAGAATAGAGATTATTTAAGAAACAAAAAAAAACCACAAAAACACTCAACAGCCACCTTTTGTATGACTTTTCATATTAGCAGAGACAACCCTTGGGTATCCATCTTCTCTCAGGCACAACGGCAGAAATCTGTGTAGACCATGTCAGATCTCCTGCCCAACTACTCGGCATCATGTAAACCACATGGGAAAATACCACTGAATGATTTTAGGAGCATTTTGGTACAATCTGGCATATGGAAAGGCAGCTGAAGAGCTAGACCCCGACTAGCTAGCTGAACTCAGAACTTGGAGCAGGAATCCTGGTTCTAGTCTGACAGCCTGAAGACCTAAGCCAACAGCCAAGCCCCCAAATGCCTCAGCTTGGATCTGAACCCAGCCTCTGCACGTGCAGACTTTGTAGTCTGTCTTCAGTAGAAATGGGACAGGGAAAAGGAAGTCGTTTTCCAAGCAAATAAAAATGAAACTGTCCAAGTTTTGATTCCACCCAGTTTGGACAGCACAGTTCCAGTTCAGTGAAGCTGGAGCTAAAGAGTAAAAGCCAGAAGTGCAGTTCCTCCCCATGGCTTTTGCCACATTGTCCACAGCTCATTCAGTTCCTGGCTGTGGGCAACCACCTCCCACCCAGGCAAGAAGACACTGTTCCTTCTCCTTAGCAAGTGGCTTAAGTGATCAAATTTGTGCCCACTAAGCAGTTAACAAATCAGGCTTTTTGGAAAGAGTGAGGCACCACACCTACTAAGTACTTTGCATCAACAAAGAAATAACTTGTGGAAATCAGGCAAAAATAGCTGAAGTCAAGAGGAGTTTGAGGTGAAGCTGCCTGAGATTTGCCCACCCAACGAAACAGCTGCCAAAAGGAGAGCACTACCATCCCCTCCTTTTCCCCCTTCCCTGCCCAGGGTCTCAGAACCTCACCAGCTCTGCTGCCTGCCAGTCCTTCTGTGAGGCACCTCACCCTGGTAGGGGAAAAAAACAACAATAAGCCTTTTTTTCCTGAATTTATTCTCTGATTCCTTTAGGTGAGACACACTTGGTTGCTACTAGAATTAATTTCATAGATAAGTACCTATGCACAGAGATGAAAGATGTGTACATGAAAGCAAAATTCACTGACAAGTTGCATGTGCTGTGAGGCTATACTTAAAAGCAGAGAGGTTCTTCAGATGGTATCTCACCTTAGAAGGGCAGATTTCAAACCATACACCACATTGCTAATGAGGATACAGGAAATCTCATCCATTTTTTCCACTTGATGCAAAACATCTCTTCCCACAAAGGGAAATGTTGATGTTTCCCTGTATGATTTAGGCTGAAAGAGGAAACTGACAGGCAGAAAGTCACAGTGAAATAGAAAAACTGGCTCCAACACAAACAAGCCTAAGCTTGACAAAATAGGCTGTAGTTTTAACAAGCAGGTTAGGAGAAGACCAAGGCGGAGGCCCTTAAAGAAATTTACTGCTTTTTGAGGCCAAAAATTTGAAAGCAACATTTGTCAAGCAGCTCAGATAGGAAGTCCTATATAAAAGGGGGAAAAAAGAGGACCTTCTCAGTTCTCATCCATGTTTTATAAAGCTAAAGGAAAAAAATATGGTAAAAGTGATAAGCTTGAAGAATTTATTGTTTCATGTGTGGTTTTGACAGGTTGCCAAGAGAATGGTGCTGCTCTATGGAGAGTAGAAGAAATGACATTTTCTTTACTTTAGATTGTTATAAAATTTTCAGTTCTTTACAAGCCCCCAGATGGTTTTTATAACCCCTTCAGGGGTTGCAACATATTGACTGAGAAATACCGATTTATATAGCAAACTCCACTCTCTTCTTGCTGGCAAAAATTACTGCTTTGTATCTGTGTATACACACAGTGGCTGAATATAAATAAAACCCCAAAAATAATGAGATCTGAGGCAAAATCTACCACCTGGCAGTACATTAAGTTGGATGAAATTTCCCTAAATTTACACTGGTGTAAATAAAAGGAATATTTGGCCCTAAATCTTTTAGGTGAATTTGGGATTGAGGATTAAAAAGTTTGTACTTTGTTTCACCCTGCAAACAAGCAGGCTGCCTTCACTGGTGTCAGAAATAAGGAAACATTTCCAGTCAACAATTCATTTGAATTGGAGGATTTTTTATTTGCTTTCATTGTGTTCATCTGCAGTGTTTTAACTGGGAGGTATTGGTGCCTTGGGACGCAGCAGGCTTACAACACAATCACCAAAGCAGGTGACCTGAGCACCTCAGCAGGAGCAACTCTGAAATGCTGTGCCTGTAATGAGCAAATAATTACTGAAGTGAACTGTGTATTCAGTTCTTGGGTTTTATAGACCACTATAATCATCTGTATGTGGTACATTCACAAGGGTATAAGAGAATTCTTACTGAATGGTGACTTCACAAAGAATGTCTAAATCCAGAGTGGACCATGAAGAGCTCATATTCCCTGGGGTCTAAGCCTGAGCTTTTGCTCTTGCCTACACTCTTGTACAATCAGGCTGGTGGTTTCACTCACTGGGTGACTCTGGTCACTGCTGAGACTGCCTAGGTAAAAAATACCACAGTACCTGGTGCTGTGCTCCAACTCACAGCTAGGGAGGAGGTAGCACCCTGCTCTTCCTGTACCTCAGGGTTAGGTGGTCACTTAGAACACAGGGAGTGTAATTTTAATTCCAATGAAGGTAGGAAAAGAGTTGCTGGTGTTCCCAGGAGAAGTCTCTGTCTATTCTATCTGAGGCTTTTCTGGAGAAAGAGAGATTTTGGTGCCTTCCTACTTTGCATTAAAGAATTAAAAATGCGTTTGAGCAGGCAGAAGGAAAGAAGAACATGGCATCGTAGCTTCATATTTAAATCATCCTTTGGGAGGGTGGAGACTGCAGTTCTGCTCCTGGCTTTCCAGGCAGAATACTTTTGTATTTTATGTTAGTCAGCCAGTGGATAAAATACATGAAGAACCCTTAGGCTGGTCAGAAAGTTTAACTGATATCCTCGTACTCAGCATCTCCTCTGCTCCTTTGCATTGCAATACCTCACTCTTCTTGGAGCTGAGCCTTAACCTGTGCCCTGTAGCTCTGCACGGGGAGAAGCAGAACTGCTGCACTAAACTTTCTGGCAGTTTTCATTATGCAGATTTTGAAACCTTTAGATCACAAACTTTCTCTGTCAAGGCACGCACACAGCTCCCAGCTCCTTCAGCCCCCGTCTCACGCTGATATTAAAGCAGCAGCGAGCTGCTTCCAGATTACCTTGGATTTGTGTGGATTTAGGGCTAAGTCCCAGCAACGAAGCTGCTGCTTAAACTTTTGCGCACTGCATTTAAGTTGTAGGACCCAAGTGAGCAGAGCTGGCCAGGTTTTAGTGTTGGTTCAAGTCTTCCTGCGCACTTGGACAGCTGTTAAAAGAGCAGGCAGCAGAACAGCTCCAGACCTGAAAGAAGGCAGCAAAGCAGACTTGGCAGAGGGAAAAAAGCACAGGCAAGTCAGCTGGCTCAGGGGAGGCAAGTGAGAGGAACGAGCCCAGCGCACAAACAAAGCCAATGGCAGCCTCCAGCCTGGCCCGGGCCTGGTGGGGCAGAGCCCAGCCTTGGCCAAGGCATGGCTGCTTCCCAAGGCCCAGACAGATGGACGGCGATGGGGATGATGTGAATGAATGGCACCGGGTTTTGGCTGAAATTTGCCTGCTCCTTCAGGCTAGACATTGTGCCATTTGCCATTGTAAATACCCTATTCAAAACCACTGTCTCTATGGCATTCAGCTGAAGGACTAAAGATCTCATCTGCAACTCCTCAGTGCTCGGAAAAGCCAGCACTGCTGCGTCAAGCCTAAATTAACTTCCCCGTGTGGGCAGGATGTAGCGCTTAAACTCCTTTGACATGTATTTCCTAGAGACAAATGGCAATTCCCTCTGTGGCCCATCATTTACTATCTACATAAAACCAGAAGGAGATATTAGAGTGGGGAACTGCCCTGCTTTTACTATATTTAGTGCCCTGTCAGCTCAGCCTATAACATTCTGCTCTTCAGTTGTAAATAATACTCTAAGGAAGGGAATAAAATTAATATCAAACATGGAGAAGCTGGTATAGAAAAGTAGACAAAAGACTGTAGGTCCAGAACACACGGGAATAAACCTTCTACTTGGGTTTAAAAGCTGAAGGAGGCATTAATGGAGCTCATCCCACCTCCTGCCCCACGGCTGAGAGTGACAGAGGATTGCAGTCTTTGGGGTCTTCCAGCAGAACGCTGCATAAATCAATGAGTCTGCCTGGCTCCTTCTGCCTGGCACCTGACAGTATGGTCTGACATGAAGGCTTCCAGCACTATACCTAAAGGAATTCTCACATTTATATTTCAAAGAGTTCTGGGAGGCTGCACATATTTCTTTTACGTGTATGTATTTAAATCTATTCAAATTTGTTCCTCTTAAGAGTGAATTCCTCGTCATAAATCATCATTGGGACTTATTAGCTTAAACTCTACACAGAACACACTTATAAAGAAAAATACAAACTATATATATGCCTTAAATAATCCTGTGGTAGCTGGACATCTTATAGCAATAAATAGATTTTCTAGCAACAGCCTCCCGAGATAAAGTGGAATATTCCCATTTTACAGAAACAGTAATGGAGGTGATCAGTCCATGGCTGTTGTGGACACCTGTAGAAATTATCCCAGATCTCTAGCACTTCAAAATCTTTGCTAACCCACAGGACCAGCTTCCTCTAAAACCAGATGGAAAGGTAATGCTAAAGGAAAAGAACGAAGAAAATGGTTTGGTTTGGTTTTTTGCCAATGAAGAGTAAAGGAAGAAAGCCATTAACAAAGCATCTTCCCATGTGATTCAAATTAGGGCAGCCCATAATGGCTGAAAACAATTGTGCTTTTATTCTTTTTCAGTGATATTTTCAGATTTGTGAAAGATTTTGTTGTTCTTTTGCCATTCAACATAAGTAAGTTGAGTTTGGTTCCACCACCAGAATGATTCACTGCACTGAAGAAATTCAGAACATCCCCAGTAGAGGAAGTACATTACTGAATTTTAAATCTTGACCACATCAATACAGGTTTTTCTGTGCTGGGAAATAATTTGTCTACGGTCTAGAGGAAATGCTTTCTAACAAATGAAAAATGAATCCTGTATTGTAAACCCTACTGAAGCTCACTGGGTTGTTGTTTTTTTTTTTTTTTCATGAGTAAGAAATGAGTAAAAACAAATAAACATCCTTTTGGATATGCACCAAAAAGACACATAAAATTTTAGTCAGGCTTTTAGCTATAGCCTACTTGGAGATCCATGTCTCAGTGAGTTTTTGGTCATGCTCTTCAGGAAATACATAACACATAGTTTATTCAAGATAACTTAATGCAAACAGCTTGAGGCATTTTGGTTACAAGCTGTAGGTTTCTTTATTACTGACTCATTCTTCTGAATACCTGGCACTGGCTCTGCATTCTGCCTGAGACTGGTTTTTGTAGACTTTAGTTTCTTCAGTTCTTTCAAAATGAAAAAGAAGAAAAGAGGTAATAAGGAATATAAAGCAAAAAAGAAAAAAATCACATACACAAGAATTTCAATCTTGAAGTTTCTGTTCACTGTTTCATGGCTTCTTTTGTCTGAAAACTCCCAAAATTCAATTCTTAAAATAAATATTTATGAAACAAGCATTTGTAAAATGTGCGTGCTTGCCAACTCCAATGAATACTTACTGATGAACCATTTTTCCAAGACTACCTGGGTGTGTTCATACTCTCAGTCCATGATACAGTTCAGTGCATTGCCTGCTCTGGGAGTTCACACTCTGAAGCAGCAGCACATGAAGGCACTTTGCATTTGATTGATCAGAGTTTGGATCTGTTCTGCTCCATATGCTGAATATGTTTGCATAATCTATCTGCAGGAGTAAACCAAAAAGCCTGGAAGAATGGATGTTTGATATGATAAATAATGGGAAGTTGTAGAGGTGAGGCATTTAGTACTTCTTCTTGCACTTTATTGATAGGGAAACAATAAAAATCTAATATTCTCTCCAGAGATTTACAGATTAAGAATTCAGGTTTTTGGCTTGGGGTGGTTTTGTTATGTTTTATCCACCCATTCAAGTGGCTTTTGGGGCTAACAAGTATATTGTATTGTCTGAGGATAAGTTCTGATATTCAGCCTAAGAATATGAAATCAGATTTGATGCCTATTCTCTCTCAGAAGCCTGTAGAGATGAATAAGGTTCAGGGTTTTGATTTCAGCCTGCTTGGATGAAACGTGCTGCTGCTGAGCCTGTTGGGGAAAGCAAGGCATGGGCCAGCTCAGCCAGCATGCAACACCCACAGGACAAAGGGGCCAGAAGAGAGATGCCATGGCTGTGATTCCCCAGGGGCTTGAACCACCCTCAGAGGCAATTAGCAGCTGCAGCCTATAATCACTGGCCACTGGGGCAGGAAGGAGCCAGCAGCAGCCAGGGCCAATGCAAACTCCCCTGCTCCTGCTTGAGCCAACCCTTTGTGCACCAGGGCTTGCCCCAAGCATGGCACTGCCACCTCTGTGGTGCCACAACCTTCCCTCATCACAGGGCTGCCAGACCTGACACCTCAGCCAGACCTCAGCATCTCACACTGGCCTGCCAAAACAAAGGCAGCTTCTGAGTCTGCGAGCTGAAGTGACACACAGGAAGTCTTGCTTTGGTAGTGTTGCTAAAATAATGTGTAAGATGGCAGATCAGGCAGTCTTTGGCTAAAAGTAAAGGTTTCTTGTCTTTCCACTAATAAGCATCAAGTCTTGCTTTGAAAACCCTGTTATTTCTTAGCAAGATATTTTTGGTCTCTTTATTTCCCTGCCTGCACTTAAACTCTAATCATGCTAATGATCTTCATCTTCTGTGCCTTCTGCCATGGTTTTTTTTTGTGACCTCTCTAAGGCTTGGCAATTAAAAACTCAATTCTGGGTAAGGTGAGTTTTTTTACATCTATATAGATATAGATAGAAAAGTTTCATATGTATAAAGCGCCTACCATCATATTGATAAGCATTTTTTTTCTATTTTCACTTATTTATTTCTCCACACACACCTCTGGTGTATTTGATGCCTCAATGTCTTGGGTTTGCCCACTCCCTTCTGCATTCCAGCATGAGCTTCTCCCAGGAATCCTCCCTGCTTGGGAGGAGAGATTCTTGCCTATGGTTCAGTCCAGACATCCCATTGAGTCAGTTTGTGCTACAACAATAAAGACAGGATTAACTGGTTCAAAGCTTAAAGAATTAATTTAAGAGTTGATGGGAAAGGTCCTTTCCTGTATCCCCTTCTCAGAGATGGAGTTCAAGCTAGCAATCTCTTAAGTTTCTGAAGTTTGTGATATTTCATTTTCTGAAGGCAGAAGTGAACGGAATGGTTCAAAATTCAAACTCATTCTTTCAGAAGAGGGTGGAGTTTGTTTTAATAATGCCATGCTAACTTGTGAATTAATATCTCCATTTTCTGAGGTACAAGAGCAGGCTGCTTTGGAGGAGTGGTATGTATTTAACAAAAAAACAAAAAACAAAGATGAGGTCAAATCTAATTATTTAGATTTAGTTTCTACTGTGATTTAGGCCTATAAGTCCGACTACCATTATCATTCTGTCTGTAAGGAAGGCTTATTACATTACAATACATGGTGAATAGATAAAAACATGACATAAATATTGTCTGGGGATTGGTTTGTTTGTAATTAAAAGGTAAAACCTCGCAGCACTATGGGAGATATATACTCTTCAAAATAGAGAAATAGTAAGGTTCAGAAAATTTGTTTACAACTACCAATAACAGAACGAGCACCTTTAATCACAAAAGACATTTCTTTAGTACAACAGCTAGACTGAAGCTTAAATACTTTACATCTGCTCAGGTCAATGCTCGCAGGGAATGATACCACAAGGGAAAAACAAAGGAAGCGGGGAACACACAGGATGCTGAAGTGTTTCCCAGGCCTCAGCAGTGCCATTCCCATAGTGTGTGGGTGTTGTGGACAAATGCAGCCCATGCTCTTGCCCTGTGGTTATCCTCCACAGCTTCCCACCCACTTCATTTATTTCTGTCCCTTTGGGTGGCAGTGCCAGCTCAAACTCTGTCCAGATGGCCAAGGCCAGCCCCTGCCACACACGAGATGGGCTCTGCCAGTCCCTTCCCCGCTGCACCACCACCACTCCTCTTGCTGAGGCTTCAGCAGATGCACCCATCCACGGATCCTAGCACCACGAGGAAGGTGAGGGAAGATGCTCAGCCTGTCCTGGGCTGGTCACCTTTCACCACGCCAGAAGCTGGGAGTCTGGGCAGTTGCTCCAGCCAGTGGTTCCCCCTGGAAGTAATTAGGCACTCTGAAGTCATTGTGTGAGGCTGAACAGCTCTGGTGGAGCACATTTCCCTCCCAAGGCAGAACCTCTGGCTGGGGCCCAA